TAAAGACCTCCTGTAATAAATAGAAATTTGTGGTTAGCTTTGTAAAAAAATAGAAGATAATATATTATAATATGAGTAATAACCTTGGTACTGTTTAACCGCCATTGCTGTAAAAGTAATAACAATTGGTTCCGTCATTGACCGCACAATAGTTTCATTGAAAAGTTCTCCCATTTCTCCCCAAAGTGTTATATTTAGTTGTTCTTCTCTGTATTAAGTAATGGAAAACATGGTTATAAATATTTAAGCATAAATATTTTTTTATCATTTATTATTACAATAATAATTTTTGCTGTATTTACCTTATGTTCTGAATCGTGAAACTTCTTCTTTTGACAATTCTTTCACTGATAGCCGATTCTTCAATACCATGGAAGGATATGAGTCGACCAATTACATCTGATACAAATATTACATATATAATCAATTAGTTTTAACAATTACAAAATGAGAAATAATTGATTAAAAATTATAAGCAAATAGGTAATAAAATAAACAAACCTGAGAGAATATCGTTTACATCGATCCTTTGAGTAATTTGATCAAATTCGACAAAAGTAAATTTTTGTCGAGGTATTTCAGGCATGTCTTCAGGAACATGTTTGAAAAGTGTTGCTCTAGCTATTCGTAACATTGCCACATGAGGAACAATTTTATATCTTGGTTTGTTACGATCGATAAAGAAGTTGCTAATTTCATATATATTTCCTTCTTCAATTAGTTGACTCATGTAGTCAGCATCTCTTGATCGGATAACTGCATGTATTGCTTCGTGCTGTAAAATTGTAAATTAGATTTTCTATTGTTATAAATTGAATAATAAATGTATATATTTCTATATATTTATAACTATATAATGTATAGAAAGAATACATTTGATTACCTCTTCATCAACCAACAGTATATCAAGACTGATAAGTTCTCCTGTCTTGTAGTCTACATTTCTCCATAAGCGACATATTCGAGCACGAATAGTCAAGTGTGTTTCACCAGGTTTTAGGATTCTTATTCGTGCAAACATCTTGTTCATACTGAAAAATAATATACAAAATATAAGAATTCATAATATATAAATGGAGTAAAAACTTGTATTATAATAATTTGTAATAACACTTTTAAAATCATAGGATGATTTTATAAAATATTATAAAAGTATAGATATTATAAAATAATAATGGTATTATAAAATGTTAACAATGTAAAAATAAAATTGATACAAAAGATATTTCATATATTGATTTAACTATTTAATTACAATATAATAAAGAGTAAATAAGTTACTAATCTTAAATATTATGTAATATTTCTTTGTACACAATATTTTTTATATAATTTGGATATTTATTTATTGATTTGTGTATTAAAATATTTAAACCTTTTGGTGATGTAACTCTTGATAAAGTTACGTATAATTGTCCATGAGA